CTTCTAAGTGTACAGTGGCACACACACACTGCACCACAGGGGCCACTTCTAGGAAGAGGAAAGGATAATGTCATGCTGCTAACTTCTCCATTTCTTTGGGCAGAGCTGAGCCACACAGCTGTCAACCTGTCCACATTTCCACATAAGGACAAAAACACCAGGCAAGAAATGCACAACTCAGGCATTTATTTGTTTGATTCTCTGTCGGGACATGGAGTCAGCCCTCATTCAGGACGGGCTCTTCTTTCTTGACTTATTGGCTGTAATCCTTAATTCCTGCCACACATCCATTCCTCTGATGATCCTAACAAAGTTTCCCTCATAAATACTGGAACCTCAGATGCTTTGCCTGCAAAGAGCATACTTTGGATTTTATGGTATTCCACTGTCTCTGAGTTTTGCCACAGAGTGAGTTTGCAGGTCTCTCCAGTATTAACTTCAACCTCCTCATTTTCTGTGTGGTTTTCAAGAGCACATTTAGAGTTGGTATGGACTTCTCTGTGTGTCATGGAAGCAGAAAGGACTGTTCAGTGTCAGCATTGATGAGGAGGCGCTGATCCTGAGGCTCACATAGATGACAGAAGCTTTCAGTGTGTGCATACTTCATGGACTGTGCATGCAGCACTTCTAACATAGTTGCAGAGCTCTTCATTCCTTTCTGCGATGGCTCATTTGATGCTTAGAATAAATAGAAGAGATGCCCGGGAAGCTCACTGAGTGTACACCTGGGTAAAGCTGTGAAGGGCATTTCCAAGAGGGCTGACGTGCAAGTCAGGAAATGAAAGACAGTGCGCTGAAGGTGCCTAGCACCCTGCAGCAGTCTGGGATCCCAGCAGGAGCAAAGTGGGTGCGAGTGGGAAGCCAGCTCTTGCTCAGGTTCTCCAGGGGTTTTCATGTCTTTGGCCTTGAATTGGGGCCACATCACTGGCCAGAATGAGCAGCTACTAGCGTTTTGGTCTCTGTGGGTTGCACATGACCCATGGAGGATTTGTAGCCTCTGTAACCATGTAAGATAATCTAATAACAATTACTATGTAATAATGTAATATGATGACATATAATATTGTTTTGTTTTTCTGGAGAACACAGAGGACTGCACCATCCTACAAAATTTTCATATTGTTTTCTTTTTTGGACTAACCAAAACAAAAGCTACTTCGGAATAAATACCCTAATTTCCAGATATATGGATAAAGATTCATTCAAAAATAGATTCATAGAAGCACTATATTTAGTATCAAAAATCAGGCAAATTAATGATAGATCATGATAATTTTACATTGATTTAGTATGTATTCATTGAAGTCTGCTTACTTATATAGTGTTACAGGAAAACCTCACAGTTTGCTATTAAACAAAGCTTCAAAGCAATATTTTTTATATCAATCGTGTAAGATAACCCTGGAAAGAATCATGTAGTAACTTGCCTCTTGGTAACTGCATAACGAGGGATATTTTCAACACTTTGCATCTTTCTACTGTTTCACTCTTTCTGTAATGGTCACATATTAGTCAGAAAGATAGCAAGAAATAGTATTAAAAGGATCAATGTTGGCGGTGGTGCCACAGACCTACAATCCCAGCACACAAGAGGTTGAGGCAGGAGGATCATCTCAAGTTTGAGTCTAGGCTACATAATGAGTTCTAGGCCATCCTGGAATACATAGGTAGCTGGACCCTATCTCAAAAAAAAAAAAAAAAAAAAAAAAAACCACTAACAGCTTTAAGCAAATAACCTTTAAACAGTGAGTCAGACCCACCCAAGACTTTGAGAACACTGCTAGATGAAATATGAAAGAGAGGAGCTTTGAGCGAGAGCATGCATAGAGAAGATCCCTATTATTTTATCACATACCTAAACTCTGCTCAGTAAATATGCTGATTCTCTAGGAAGTTAGAAAAAATAAAGTCACTGCAAGTGAGATCTTGTTAGCACAAATGCTACACAGCCAACATCTCTTCATCAGAGAGTAATGCCTCTCAATGGATGAGCCAAAATAAAAGCCACTTTGGAAGAGACAGCCTCTAGGAACTGTCTTTCGGGGTCCTCGGTACAGTAACAGCAGGGATAAGGCGGAACAAATTACACTTGATTACATGCTCCCAGCATGGAAATTCAGACACTTGAGACCTCTAGTTCTACCTTGCTTAAATTTAGCCCCCCCTTACATCAGATTGCCCACCACGAATGAGTAATCACTACACCGCTGGTTTTCAGCACCTGACAAAGGAAGGTGTCGTGCCTCACCTTACTTGCCCATCTGGCTCAAAGAAGAGACTCCTGGAGAACTGATTGAGTCTGAGGGCTCCCAAGGCATGTGCCATTCACCCCAGCTGCTTATGATCCAAGAGGGTGGATGTGGGCAGGGGAGGTGCAGCCCTGGGTGTCACTTTGGAGTTCTAGAGTGCTCTCTTTCCGTGTTGTGCTTCCCAGCTGCCGTGAAGTGAGCCACTTCCTCTGCCATAATGTTCCTGCCTCACAGCCAGTGGACCATGAACTGAAACCATGACCTGAATAACCAACTCTTCATTCCTTTATTTATTTATTTCATGCATTTGTACTGAGTCTCATTATGAAGTTTATTCTTGAAATGATCCTCCTGTCTCAGGCTCCCCAGCACTGGGATTACAGGTGTGTATCACCATGCCTGGTCTCCCTGGTCAGCTCAGTGCACCCAGGGACAGGGCCAGTGCAGCATGATGTACTGGGTATCAAACCCGGTCCCTGCACTTGCCTAAGTAGGTGCTTAGTCCACTGAGCTATCTTGCTGACCCCCACCTCTTCCTTCTAAGTTACAAGTGTTAGGTCTTTTGTCCCAGCATTGAAAAAGCTGGCCAACACAGGAAACCCAAACTATAACTCCAGGGATCCAAGGGAATTCATTAAAAGAAAAATACAAAGCACATGAGATTTTTCTTAAGGCTTCTCCTACTGACATAGTAGGGGAGATCTCTGTTCCAATTTCTCACATATTCCAGGGAGGATTTCATTTCAAGAGAATTACCATCCATAACTTATTTGGCCCCAAATTGATCATTATAGAATATTTTTAAATGATACTTAATCTTTTTCATCACTATGTTAGGGTTACAAGACAACTCAGAACTCTAATACTATTGATGAAAAGCCACAGTCAACATGTTGCTCTGCATCATGGCTGTGCCTCAGTGGAGCAGCCCCTGGCACATGAAATCCAAAAGACTAGGGCTGGCAAGATAACTCAGCGGACTAAGCACCTGCTTTGGCAAGTGCAGGGATAAAGGTTTCACCCCTGGTCCTGCATGCTCTGCTGGCCCTGCCCCCACCCCAATGACATGCTGAGCCTGCAACCGAGTCCAGGCGTGGTGGCGTACGCCTGTAATCCCAGCACTGGGGAGACTGAAAACAGGAGGATCACTGCAAGTCTGAGGTATGTAGTGAGACCCTGTACCAAATACATAAAATGCAAAAAAAAAA